CACTCCATGGGAGAAACGCAGAAACACATAGCAGTCTGCTTCCAGGAAAATGACAGCCAATGAGGCACTGATACCAAGGGCTCAAGTAGAAAGAAAATGTTTTGAAAATGATGATGGCAACATATGTACAAATGTGCTTGACACAATGGATATGTGTATGGATTGTGATAAGAGCTGTATGAGCCCCCAAAAAAGTGATTAAAAATATGACAGCCATGGAATCCCTGTGGTGGAACCCATACATGGGTCTGTTAAGAATGTTATGACACTGTCCTATAGGGTCACTAGGAATTGATTTGATGACAATGGGTTTTCATACTACATACTTATGCTAACATACTGTAAGTAGAGAATCAAATAGTCTAGCTTGAATTGAAATAGCAGAAGAATTTGAGTATGGTTTTAATTTGATGATATAAAAAGATATTTTTCTTTATTAAAGCTAGTTATAAGGAAACTAGAATATCTTGAAAGGGGATAAAAACAAGTGTAGGCCCTTTTACTTTGTTTTCTCAAATCCAGTTTTTCTATTGCTTTATCTCCCCATGATCAGGTTGACTTACTAACATGTACTTCCCTTGTTTTCTGTGGTGAATTAATCGTGGCTACAAATTCTTTGTGAGTCTTTCGTCAAGATTCATTTCCCCTCTAGAAGTTGGCCTGGCACTGTCTCTGCTTAGCCAATTGGATGCAGTGGAAGTATCCTGTGACATTTTGGTGCTCTCTTTAAGAGAATTGGCAACTTCCTCCCTCTGAGGATGTTTCCCATCACAGCCCAGCCATGAACCTGATGTGTGAGAGGCCCAGGACACGTGGAGAGACCACATGTTTGGATAGGCCCAGTTGAGCTCCCTGCTTTCACCTATCAGCAACGGCTAGTCACGTGTGGTGGCCATCTTCAATGTTTCCATTCCATTGCCCTTGAGTTGATTGCAGCCCAAAGAGAGCAGAACCATCTAGCTGACCCCTGTAAACCCAGACTAAGGGGGTTTTTAATAGAAAGGTTGTTTTATACTCTACAACTCTTTGTTTTGCAGCAATTTGTAACTGAAAACACCTTTTCCCCCAAAGCCCTGGAATTGAAAACATAGAACTCATTAGGTTTAAACTATAAATGGGTCAGATTTTAATAGCCTATGCTTAATTCTTTTAACTTCTGAAAAGCATTAGGCAATGCTTTATAAAGTTCTCATTTGGGCAACCAGGAATATTTAAATGTATTTAATAATTGTATTAAATGAGCATTGCCTCTTTTCATTATTATATTTTCTAGCTCTTTAATTCTGCCAATGAAATGCTGTACAATTAACACATTAATCAGATGAATGCTTCATATTTTAAAAAGTTACAGCATATTGTCCAGCAGAAGTCACATGAAGTTTGGAGTCTGACCCTGGATCTTATCCGGCCTTCTCACTTAATCCTTATCCTATCGTGGTCTGAGCCACCTGGGTTGTCTGAGCCACCATTTATTTACTTCTATGAATATTTATCCTGCCTAGGATTATTGAAAATCAGAAATACTGTATGTAAACACACTAGCAGGTTGCTAGGGACAAAGATAGAGTTCAATAAATGTGGTTTTTATTGTTATGGATAAGATTGTCATTTTGAGAAGGTAGTACAATTTTGTGTTGTGTCTATTTAAAAAAAAACCAGGATGTGAAATATGGATTTTGATGGAGGAGTGGTTATAATGGGATAGGCTCAAAGGATTAAAAGGTATATCCTTGGAGTTTTCCCTACAAACATGCGTGTTTGCTCCAAAGGAAAAATGTGATATCCAAGGTCAATTACATTACCTTTCTGACTTTCATTCTTTATTGCTATAAAAAAACTAATGAAGAGATAAAGGCAACTTCTGGATCCAAGGTCGACTCATAAAGAATTCCCTTCTTTATTTCCTCTCTCTTCTCTTCCCTTTACTTAATCACACTCATCTCCAATTTGGGGGCGGAAGGACTTTGTAATTTATAGTACACTGGTTCTCTTGCTGACTGATTTTCTTACAACCTAAGTGTTACAAGATTCCTGGGGTACATTTCCAAAAGACACACACACACACTGATTTATGTATTACAAGAGAAAGGAAAAGTGTGGCCACTCATCGGATTCTATTTCTAATGTTTTCCCTCTGGATAATAGAGTGTTTTCCTTTGTAAGCGTTAGGATTTTTCCATTTTACAACTAGAGTAATATCCAGCAGTTGCTCTGCTGCAGAGGTTTGCAGTTTGTACCCTATTTTTACACAAATAGTACGCACATTATGAGTTGCGCAAGCCACATACTCCCTTGTGCATTACTTTTCTATATGCTCTGCATGTTTTATGTACATGTACATTATTTATGTGGGCACATTATAGGCAGGAAAATATGGTAATTAAGGTGAAGGGCTTAGTTGCCTTTGGTGCAAGTTAAAGTTTTCTCAGTTACCAGATAGCTTGTCTATCTCCCTGACCGTGGCTACCTGCAGTTCATATTGGTCTTTGAGATTTCAATGACCTTGACCTTGGGTGAAATGCCAATGTACAAAAGTGGATTAATAGTTTGGAACTGGAGTAATTTGCAACATATTAAAATTGGGTAGTGTCTGAAGAAATTATAAACTATCCTACTTAGCATAAAAACCTATCAGCTCATAATGTCTTTGTATATTTACATGGTTAAAGATGATTATGGTCTTAATACTGCTCAGTTTGAGCACTATAAATGTTTCAATGTAGATTTTCTGTAATATAATATTCCCTATCTTTTGCTAGGATGAAAATTTGTAATAGAGCTCTCAGTGCTTTAAAATCTCATAGTTGAGCAAGAAAGAAGCAGGATAGAAATGATTTTAAAATGCCTGTCTAGCAGAGGAAACATTGCTCTTGAGTGTATTCTGACTCACAGTGACCTTATGGGACAGTAAGAACTGCCCTATAGCAGTTCCAAAGTTGTCCATCATTAGGGATCTAGACTTGCCACACCTTTCTTTGGCAGAACAACTGCTGGGTTTTGAACTGCTGACCTTTAAATTAGCTACTGATTGCTTAACTACTGGATCACCAGGGATCCTTAAATACTGGTTACTGGTAGCATTAGGGGTTAAGTATTGGACTGCTGACCACAAAGTTGGGAGCTCAAACCCACTGGCAAGTCCATGGGAGAAGGATGTAGCTGCCTACTCCTTTTAAGAGTGACCTTGTAAAAAACCCCATATTGGAATACTATTAAAAATTGATTGGTTATCATTGAGTTTGGGTTTGGTTTAAATATATAAATGTAGAGGTGAACTAAAGAATCGCTCATTTTCTTCCTAAGCTTGTCATCATCATTTACAAATGTATAAATTAGTCCAGGCTTTGTTGCTATGTCTAGCATTGAAAATACATTTAAGAATATTGATACGCTTTACTCATTTATAATCAAATTATTGCATTTGGAAAGAAAGGGTAATATTTGGATCCCATTAACAGAGTAGCTTCACTTAGGACTTGACCTCTGATTTCTGGGATTCGCTCACATAATGGTTCAATCCTGCAGACTGAGAAAGCATTGTTCAGGCTCCTGTTGGCATTGGTGAGCAAAATGGTTCCTTGGGAACCATTCTGGTGTCCACTCCCTGTTAACATATGGATTAAAGGTTGAGATGGATAGAGGGTGCCTTGGTGTGCAACGGATGGTTCAGAAGAGCCTGTGCTATTAAAGACTTTGCACTTCTTCCAGGATTTTTAACTACTGATGTTTTAAAAGGGAGGAAAATCGGCATTGAAACTCTCTGTAAGGTGAAACTACTGAAACCTAAGCCAAAAGGCATGCTCTCATAGAAATCTCTTTCTTAATACTTGCAGTGCAGTTATAGCTGAAGACATGTGGTATATATTACTGTGCCCAGGGAATTCAAACCTCCGCAGTGTGGAGTTACAGTGAAAGGCTAATTTAAAAATGAAGTGGTAGCCTTTGCTCCCATCATGGCTCTGTTACTTACCAACTTCTTGTTAGCTTAACGTTATGAGTCTGTGCCTGCTTTGTCTGGATGGGACAGGGGAAGCAGCTATTTACAGGGGACCCTTAGAGTAGAGGCATATGGACCTCGTTCCCCTTCCCTGGTTCCCCCTTCCCCTGCTACAGCATACACTTGGCATTTCACCCGGGGCATTACAAAGTCTTACACAATCACTGCACAAATAGATATTTCAAAAGTGGGCTAGAGCCACTTGCCTCTATAATGGCCTAAAGGCAGAGCTGTCCATGGTTAGAAACACGTTTTCTAACTGTTGGTTGAAAACTGCGTATTAATAGTCCTCTTGGTGCACAAAACTTCTTAGAGGGCTAGGGAAGGCATGCTCTCTCTCAGCAGCAGGCAGGAAGAAATTGCTGTTGAAAAGCTTACCTCTCTGGGGAGGAATCAGATATCAGACTTTGCCAAGCCTCAGGTCCAACCCATAAGGTCCCACCTACATCCCCTCCCCATCCCAGCTTTGTTAGATTGCTAGCATCGATCCATCGCTGGCTTTTTCTGACCCAACTCTGGGTAAAGGAAAGAAAGCCGGCAAGACTGAAAGCACGCAAGGGGGGAGCAGAAGAGTGGGGCCCACTGCTTCTGTAGCCAGAGAAAGAAAGAAAAGAGGGGGGCGGGGGGCACAGGGACTCCGCTTAACTGGTGCCTGCCTGCTTCCCTTTGATTTGATGGCCTTTATTCCGCCTAATTGGATAAAATAGGAAGTCACTGGCAGTCCTGGCCTGCTGGGTGTACTGATTTCACTCAGACCAGCCCAGCTCCAGAGTGGGGAGGGTGGGTGGGGGCTGGGAGAGAAAGGAGATAAAATAGAAGCACCGAGAGCGAGACGTCTTTGGAGGAGGAAGGACAAGCGAGAAGAGAAGGGACTATGAAGCAGGGATGAGGCGCAGAGACAGAAAGTGAAGGAGCGCCGCTCTAGAAGGACAAAGAGGAGTGGTTGCGGGGTGGGGATGGAGGCAGGGCGGGGAAGGGAGTGACCGCCCCTCCTGGCTGGGCTCTCGCCTTCAGATCCCTCAGTGAGGAGACTCTTTGCAGGGATGCTCAGAGGGCAGGCACCTGCTGCTCTGTAATGATTCAGCCTCTTTCAGCCGCTGCGTTAACACAACAGGATGCTGTTGCTACTGTCACTGCTGCCGCTGCTGCCGCCGCCGCTCCTGCCCCCGCCGCCGCCACCGCTGCTCCTGCTTTTGCTTTTACTTCTGCTGCATGACAGTTGTTTTCTTCATCTGAGCAGGCAGCAGCTGCAGATGCCCCAGGTGGGGAACCTGCCTTTCAGTTTGGGCTACTGGTTTACTTAATCGGACGACCCTCCGCCCGCCCGCTTTCTCCTTTGGTGGCCGTTCTCTTGACAAGCCGGGATGGTTTGAAGAAGCATTGAAAAGAACTGGAAAAGTGGCCCGGAAACAGCAGCGAAAGAATCACGACACCACTTTTATGTTTGTTGTCCTTAGAAGCTTTTTCTTCTCTTTTCTTCTTTCCCTGTCTTCCCGAACTCCTCCTGATTTTGATAATGGCCTTGGACTTGGGCTACGTATCGATTTCCACTTCTAAGATGCTGTCTCATTTGGCTGGGGGGGGCTCTGCATGGTAATGGACCGTGAGCGAGGCCGGGCCTTCTGGAGGTGAGCCGATGGAGATTTATTCCCCAGACATGTCTGAGGAAGCTGCCCAGAGGTCCTCCAGCCCCTCCACTCAGCTGAGTCCAGACCCATCTCTGGACGGGCTTCCGGCAGCAGAAGACATGCCAGAGACCCAGACTGGAGATGGGAGAAGCCCGGCACTTGGCCTGGCAGTGCCCTGCTGCGTGTGCCTGGAAGCGGAGCACCTGAGAGGTTGCCTCAACTCAGAGAAAATCTGCATTGTTCCCATTCTGGCTTGCTTAGTCAGCCTCTGCCTCTGCATTGCCGGCCTCAAGTGGGTATTCGTGGACAAGATATTTGAGTATGACTCTCCTACTCACCTTGACCCTGGGGGGTTAGGCCAGGACCCTGTGATTTCTGCTGATCCGACCGCTGCCTCAGCTGTGTGGGGATCATCGGAGGCATACACTTCACCTGTCCCTAGGGCTCAATCTGAAACTGAGGCTCAAGTTACAGTGCAAGGTACCAGTGCTGTTGTACCTTCAGCTGCGCCAACCCTGAAGAATCGCATCCTTGCTTTTCCTTTTCTGCCTTCCGCTGCGCCGCCCTTCCCTGCATCCACCGGGCACCCTGAGGTGAGAACACCCAAGTCAGCAGTTCAGCCACAAACAACAGCAACTAAGCTCCGAACTGCTCCTAAACTTTGTAAGTAGAGAGTGAGAGAGAGAGAGAGAAAGAGAGAGATGAATGGAGGAAGGGGGTGGGGACTGAGGTCCCAAAAGGTGCTCTCTAGAGCTCCTAGCGCTTTCCCTTTCTGCTTGCATTTTAATTGCATGGTTTTGTGTAAGCGCATCACGTGACTGGATGCTTGGGGTGGCACTGGAGAGACAAGTGCAAGGCTCTTGTAAACTCACTTCTCTAACAGCTCCCTCTAGCCTGGTTGTTAAACCTGGGGGTGGGGGTGGGGGATCGGAAAACTTCAGCATCTGCAAGTCATGCTTGAATTTAAGCCAAATCCAACTTACTTCCTAACACCTATTCAAATGAAAACACCAGACCCTTCTTAACTAGCCTTTTCAATTTAATCTGACGCTGCCCATGACAGTGAGTATTAGTGTGTGTGTCTGTGTGTGTGTGTGCATGTGTGCCACTCTCTTTTTGGTCTCATTGTCCCATATTGCAGATGGTCTATCACCTTCTCACCTTTCTGTTACTCCCCAGCAACCCCACCCTGCTGCTCGCTCTCTCTCTCTCCATCCCTAACCATGTCTCCCCTCATTTGGATTTCAATTGGTTCTTCCTGAATTCCATCAAGCCATAAACCCTTGATTGTGCTCCAGCCTCTGGAGCCTGAGAGGATTGCTGACCGGCCAGGTTGCAGTTTCAGTTATTTGCTTTATAAGGGGCAGCTTGTGGTTGTGGTTGTTATTGTGGTTCAGGACACAGAACCATTCTGCATAGCAAGTTCCTCCCAACTTAGTTTTGTCACCTGTAATCGAACATTTAAAGAGCTTCCTTGCCAGCCATTAAAGTGTACGAGATCCAAAGGTACCGCTTTTGTTGTAGACACGCATGCTTCAGCCTGTCAGGTTGTAGCAGCTGAGTTAATTATCAGTGGGAGACCAGAGCCCCGCGCTCTTAAAACGACACAGAGCAACATACAGCTTTTGGCACCTGGTCATGCAAGAGCTACAATGGAAACTTAACAAGCATGAAACCGTGACTTGTCAGATGGCACTAACAACATCTATGTCAAAGAGAGGAGTTTGCTCCTTTTGGGGGTTTGTTTCTTTTTAAATTACTATTTTTAGTTACCTTCCAACATTGGTATTGATGTGTTTTACCTTAGTAGATGGACACGACTGCTCATTGATGGGTAGCTCCTTTTGGGAGAAGAGTAAGGTCAGAGTCTGGTTCTTAATAAAGGGCATAAAACCGCTTAGGCTTAAACAAGAGTTGGGGAAAGGATTCTGTGGTGAAATACTTCTTTTATTTCCCTTCCCCCACCCACTACCAGAAGGTCCAGTACCCTTTCCAGACATTAATTCTGCCCAAAGTAGAGCATCATGTAGAAACAGAACATCTTGAGCGGGACCTGTGCCTCAGTCCTATTTCTTACACACACACCAGTTTCAATGGCAAAAACTAAGGGGGGTGGGGCTTGTTTTTCAGGTGTAATTAGGGAAGGAACTCCTTGCTGTACACACTGCTTTGTATTTTTATCAAATCCCTGAAGCATCATTAAAGATCTGACAGATATCGCTGCATTTGCTGCCTCTTCCCACCTGGCAGAGTGACGGGGAAACCATGCCCACATGCAATGATGGGCTATAAAAAGCAGGCAGAGATCCTGCAAAGAAAGCAGAATTTACCATGAAGACAAGGTTCCTTCTCCATCTTTATCATTTAAAGCACAAACCTTTCCTCCTGAATGCCCGAATGGAGTTCGTTGTCCAGATAAAGGAAGATGAACTTTGTAAATGTATCCAACCCCATTATCCTATAATTTTGTAATCCGAGGAAAACAAAGACGCATCCTGCACGTTTGCCTGATGTTAAGAGCAGGTCAAAAAGTATGCTGTGAAGTTTTGAGAAATTATTTCCTTAAGTAAATTCTTCTACGGGGTTTTGATAGATTACATATTCCTCTTCTTCTTTTTTCCTTTTTCCAAGTTAGAGCATTGATTTTGTGGCACTTGCATTGAGTGGAAGAGATTTACTGCTGCCTAAAAGCATCACGGTGGCCTGTGCTGCCCAGACACACAGCTGCAGCATTTGGAAGTGCATTGAAGATAAGCCTGGAAAAGCAGTTTGAGAAGGAGCATTCTACTGAAAAGTTAGGGTCAGACACTTGGTTAACATTTTGAAGCCTACATGGTTTTCTATGTGGGGAAACTCTTAGCTTGTACAGATGTCTGCTTTAAAAAGACAAGAAAGCAAACCAATAAGCCTCTATTTCATTCAAATTATGAGTCTTGTCTTTGGAATGGGATTGGTTGGTTCAGGAAGCTTTTTGAGTCTCTAAAGTGATTATTTGTTTTTGTTGTTGAAAGAGTTGTAATCACTAAATGAAGGCAAAAGCAAATAACATCATTGGGCTGTCCTTTATAAAATCTCTTTCATGATTTTCTTTTCAACAGAGAAATATTGTTTTGTCTCAAGAATGATTGTTTCTGATAGTAATCATTCAATCCTGACTCGCTTTGTAAAATGACACGATCGTATCCAAAATAGGTTCTTCACTGGTTTCAGGGCTTGGTCCTCCCTTTTCTGTTGTTCGTCTCTCTCAGCATATTCTGCATATTGCACACAGCGCTGTAGCTTTCAAGGTCATAGTCTGTTGAGGGCTAATTGATCCCACTCTTTCTGGAGCCTGAGAGAATGGAAGAGAGACCATCTCCGTAATTGTGTCTGCTGCGCTATTCCCCAAACCAATCTACCTAGTAGCATTAGTCTCTTATTTTTTTTAAATACTAGACTTACTCCTTTCCTCACTGATTTCTTTTCAAGGTTCAACTTTTGGGTGGGGGCCATTATTAAAAAAGACAGACTAATGTTTTCACATGTCTCAAAGCCTCGTACCTATGGCAGTTTGTTTAAAATAAGTATTTCCTTTCATATAGCAATTTAAACTCATGTTTACATCATATTGCTATGTGCAGAGAGGTGAAGCTTAAGAAATCAAATACAAGGCTGGAATGATGCATATGTATATGTGTATATGTTTTTTCATTATGAAGTTTTCCTGTGTGTGATTTGTGGTTCCTTATACCATATTCACCATACTGCCATGAATATCGTTTTTTCAAGTCACATATATTTGAACCATTAATTTGTTTTATTTATTAAGATGTTTGATATCTTACGTCTGGTCTTTATAGAAAGGACTGACTTTGGAACACTGTGAATTTAGATCACCGTAAAAATAACTGCACAATCCAACTGTATCCAAGAAACTGAGGTGCCATTTTGAAAAAGAAAACGTTTGTGGATGGGAGAGGCTGCGTGACAATAGACTCTTAGGTAGAAGATTGGTATTTTCATCTTTAGGGCGAATTTGTTTCTCTTCATTTTAAGACTCTTACTTGGGTTGTAAGGAAACCAATGTTACTGGAGTGACACTGTAAATCATTACCATTTGCAAAAGCTCAACGTGATAGATTAAATACACTAAAGGGTTTCCTCTCTTGTTATAAGTGGCGTTCACTCTAAGGCCTCTGAGTCCTGCTCCTTCAGTTCTTTACAACTACACTCGTAGTCATTTCAGAACAATGATTTCAAATAATTTCTCTCCACTTACGCCTACTTGTTTAAATCAGACGACATTAAAAACTGTGACATCATTGTCAATTTACTAATGAGGAAACTGGGATCCTGAAAGATTAAGTCTAATGTTGTAGCTGAAAAAAGGGGTTAGTAATTTGTCTCCTGGATATATAGTTTCTCTCTCTCTCTCTCTCTCTCTCACACACACACACATACACACACACACACACACACACACAGAGTTTTATACACACTTTTTAAAAAAAAATCATACTGTCCCTCTTCTAGAGAATGAGAATTTGAGGCTAACTCTGGTGCTTGAGGCAACATTGAACAGGCCATTCAGGAAGTACTTCAAATGGGACTGCTAATCAAGCATGTGTGGCTCATCCCACTAAAATTAAATTTTCTTCTTTCCTTCCTGTCTCATTCTTATTAAAATTTGAGTGGTGGTCTTTTTTCTTTTTTTATTTGATCATCCATACAGTACTTGTTTGCTTTTGGAGACAGCTTGGAGTGTCTAGGGTGAGCTGGTCCCTAAAATAGAGCAGATGGTTCCTTGGTTCTCCTGTCTCCTGCACATCCCACTCTGATCCCTCTTCTTCCTGTGATACCCATGTTAGTTGTCTGTCTTCTTCTCCCATCTAGCTTCATCGTTATGTCTTAAATTTTTACTTTCCTAATTATACAATCTTGTTTTCAATATTTTATTCACAGATGCTGTTCACATAAAGCTTTATTTTAATTCTGAATTGTCCTTAAACATACATATACTGCACAAATTCATTCTGCTCCAAACCCTGTACCTTTGTCCTCCCCTCTTTGCTTTTCCTGTAATACTACCTTGCATTACCCTTTTACAGCATGAAGGGAGTGGGATTTTGTCGATTGACAGATGTAAAGAAGTCTTAACATGTCCAAAGTTAAGGGAGAAGTCTCTGAGAACCAAAAGTGTACCTCTTTTCCTTGGAGTCTGCTCAGCTTTCCACCCAGCTGCACCACCATGCCTGCATTTATGCTCCTGCTTCCATATGCTCATTTTCCTACATATAATTGTTTCATTTTTCTTCTATTCTACTTGCTATTTTTCTTGATTCATTTATCATATAGTCAACCGAAATATATTAAGCACTTACTATGTGCCAGGTGGCACTGGGTGTCAAATGCACTGGGAGAAAGATGAGGCTGTCTGCTCCTATAAAGATTTACAGTCTCGGAAACTCCCTTACAGAGTCAGAATCAAGTCAATGTCAGTGGGTTTGGTTTTGGTTCATGTGCTAGGAAGGAGCTATGGGGATGCAATGGTTTTAGCACTTGCCTACCAACAGGAAAGCCACCGGTTCAAACCTACCAACTGTTCTGTGGAAGTGTGGCATTTATGACAGTCTTCGTCCATAAAAATGACATGCTGGGAAACCCTATAGGGCAGCTCCACTCAG